TTATTTTTTAGAATCATGACTTCTCATCATGTTCAGATTTGTGATGAGTGGTTAGTGACATACTCAATTTGTATCTCCATTAGTGACACAATGTAAATTCCTCAATTTACCAATGTATTTCAAGAAATAAATATTTTTATTTCTCTTTGTTTGAAAAAAAAAAAGTGCAATGAACACTGGATCCAATTATTGGTAGAAATAGGTTCAGGAACATGGGGCATGGCATGTCTGACTATGTAGCTATGTTTAGTACTCTGGATAGTACTGATGGGAAGAATTCCCCTTTAAAAAGTGGGTATTACTTAAGACTTGGTCATCTCCTGTGTCTGCTCTTTTTATACTATAAATAAAAATTTTCATGAAAATCTAAAAAGTAATTGAAATTAAGGCTAGGGGTTTGTAATGGTTTTTTGTCTAATTCCTTATTTTCTTATGTCTTGAATTTGTCGCTTTGCATAGAACAAAAGCAAGGAAGACTATGTGCATGGAAGTGATCCAGGTAAATGAGGTGAAGAGAGGAAATCCTAGAACTGAAAACCACCTATTTGGCATCATCCCACTTATGTAAAATTATGCCAGAGAAGAGATTATTGTTGCTATTATGTGCCATCAACTCAGAATTAACTCAAAGCTGACCCTCTAGAGGGTTTTCTGAGGCAGGAAATTGCAAGGAGGAGGTTTCCCATCTTTCAACAGTGTAGCAGCTAGTGGCTTTGAACTGCATGTGTTTGGAATGACAGTGTAACAACTTACCAGTAAGCCATCAGCACTCCCCTGAGAAGAGAATAAGGAATTGAAATATTAAGAGAAGGTCACGAAGTAGACATTGGCAAAGGGTCTGAACAGTACTAAACAGAGTAATTCAAAATTATTTTCATCTTAAAAAGATATGTTTCTTTATAAACAAATGGCAGATCACTTCTCTTACCACCATATTACTAGGCACGGTAGAATCAAATGGGCATCAAGGACCAAGGTGGCAGAGTAGAACCTGGTACAATTCTGGGGTGATAAATTGCTATAGTCTCACATTATATCCAGTGTTGTGACTTAGTGATTTTACATAGAAAAGTCTATCTTCAGGATATTTTTTAAAATGCAGAAAAGACCTTGGTATATAAACATGCCTTTGGTAGCACTATACATAACAGCAAAGAAATGCAAACAACGTGTATATCATCAGTGTGGAAACACTACGCAGAGATCTAGTCAACAGAATATGATGCAGCAAATACAGGTGATAAACATTGTGAATGGCTAAAATTGTAGGGAAATGAAATAGATGCTCCTTTCTAAGATTATCTCATAAGATTACAACTGGACCAATGAAGTAACTTCATGATAAATGGAGAAAACAATGAAGTTGTAAAATATTTCACTTTCCTTGTATCCACCATCAACACCCATGGGAGCATGCACAACCAAGTTCGATGGTGTAGTCCATTGGGCAAATCCCCACTTTAAGGCATTTAAAAGCAAAGATGTTACCATAAGGAGGAAAATGCATGTGACCCAAGTCTGCTCTTTTCAATCACTTCCCATGCATGTGAAAACTGGAGGATGAATAAAGAAGACCAAAGAGAAATGGATACATTGAAATTAAAGTGTTGATGAAGAATATTTCAAATAGAATGAACTGCCAGAAGAACCAATGAAATCTGTCTTAGAGGAAGCACAGAGGAATGTTCCTTAGTAGTGAGGCTGATGAGAATCAGTGTCACACACTCTGGACAAACTATTTCAGGGATCAGTCCCTGGAAAAAAGACATGCTTGGTGAGCAGTCAAAGAGGAAGACATCACAGAGTTGGATGGGTGGAGGGAGGAGGGATGAAGGAATCAGGAAAGATTCAGTGGGGATCTGAAAATGGCGTAATAGTGGGCATAGATCAATGGTGATTAATTTTATAAGACATAATGTGTGGAAATGAAACACAATGTGAATGAAAAACAAAACAAATTTAAAAAAGAGGAGTACCCTCAAGGAGCTACAGTTGACACAGCGACTGCAACACTGAGCTCAAACAGCTACGACTGTGAGGGGTTGCAGGACTGAGAAGATCTCATTCTGGTGTAGAAAGGGCTGTGAGTCGAACTGACTCAACAGTACTCATATCAAGGAGAGCATCTTTACAGGTAGGTTTTATTACACTTTGCTGGATTGCCTACTAACATCCTATACCAGCACGTAAATCCAGACAGTGCTGGGTGCTGCTGGGTTGCTATTTAGCACACAGTGAACTCAGGATGCCTAGATAAGTGATACCACACCAATTCCTGCTCCTCACCTTATTAAAGATAGGCCAAGGTCAGCACGATTCACACTCTGACCAAAACCCAAAACCAAACCTGCTGCTACAGGGTTGGTTCTCACTCCTGGCCACCTCATGTGTTTCAGAGTACATCTGCTCCATAAGGTTTCTTGATGGCAATCTTTATAGAAATGATTGCCAGGCCTTTCTTTGGTGGCACTGCTGCATGAGTTCAAATCTCCAAACTCTCAGGGCAAATTGTGTGCTCGGCACTCTGATGAACAGTGTATTTTATGGGTGCTAGGCCGACCGCATCCCTCAGTGTTCTCTGATAATGGGGTCATTCTCAGCCCTCAGTGCAAACATGTGTCATTGCCCTAATTCACTGTACTTCCCATTTCTGGGCCTGGGTCCCCTTAAGGCCATGCACATACCTAAGTTGTAATAATTCTCATCTAGCTGCCAGCAGGAACATTCTAAATGAGTAAAGAAGCAAGGAGCTACCCTGCACCTGAGACTGAGTGCCCACAAAGGCCACATTTAAGTATTAGGTGCTGGGAGTGAGCAGCTCAGAGCAAGATGGACCAGGAAAAGACTCCACCATACAACCTCGTCCATCTGTCTGTGAACTTTGCCCCAGGAATCTCCAGTGGAACCAAACATCTGTGTGTATCACTGACCTCTTTGTGGCAGATGGTGCAGAGTGTCTGAAAGTTGTCCAGAGAGCACTGTCCACCCCCGCTGTAGACAGGCTTGATGTGGTCCACCTGCCAGAAATGGCCCTCCACTGGGTGTCTTATCATTTCATTTAGCTGCAATGAGACAAAAACATCAGCAATTTCCTGCAGACAGTGGGAGCTGTTGGTTGTGGGTCATGCAATCATGTTTAGACAGTAAAGTCTTGGGGAAAGCACATTAGGATGGCACCTTTTTAACAGCTCTTATTGTAAGAAAGCGGGAAAATCCAACCCTTTGGGTGAGCCATCCGAGGCATAAAACAGGTTTCTGAAAAAGCTTTCCCCCCCTTACCTAATTTTGAAAACATCTCCATGCAACTATAAAATACTAAGACTTCTGAAAGACTTAAAAAAAAACCCCAAAAAACAAAGAAAAAAACCTCAACACCAAACTACACCAAAGCCCCAACACCATCAGTTGCTCATGCACCTGTGCAGAAACCTGTGGGCTGGTTGACACAACCTTAACCTCCATCGGAGCAAAGAGTAAGCTCAGGCTTGAAATTAAGAACATCTGATTTTATGGACCTAAGCATTTGCTATATGAGAAAGTCTGCTGTTAGAAACCCTCCAAAGTACTATAGAGCAATGATGTCACTATGGTGACTAAGGTGCATCTGACACAGGCCATGGTCTTTTCAATCACTTGCTATGTATCAGAGAGCTGTACAATGACTAGGGATGACAGAAGGAAAATGGATGTCTTTGAGCTGTAGTGTTGGAGAAGAATGTTGACTATTCCATGGACTGCTAAAAGAATGAACAGGTTCATACTAGAGAGGGTTAAACCAGGCTGCTCCTTGAAGGCAAAGATTCTGAAGCTTCCTCTGACATACTTTGGCCATGTTACAAGGAGGGACCAGTCCTTGGAGAGGGACATCATGTTTGGGAGGGTGGAAGACCCTCTATGAGATGGATTGATTCAGTGACTGAGGTAATGGGGATAGGTGTGTCCAAGATAGTGAGATTGGCACAGGATAGAGCAGGGTTTAGGGTTGTTGTACACAGGGTCACTATGAGTGGCAGGCAACTTGCACACCTACCAACAACAAGCAATCTTTTAATTGTTGGCCTAAGTGCAGTTGTTAGATTATCAATGACAGTCTAAGTATCAATAGGCATCACATTGTGCTTTTATGCTATTCACTGGAGGAGCTTCCCAAATTACAAGAACAAGGATGAAATTTCTAGAAAATATCTAACTTGCATATTTGCAAGGAATAAATCAGTAGGTTTGCTTTACTCCGGAATTAAACACTGTAGAATAGTTTTTTTTCTCACTCAATCACACCACCCCAACCCACTGTATTTGACCAATGGTGACTTATACTAAAATGGGAAGCAAATTAACATTTTAGTGGAAGTTATGAAAACAACTTATACTATAGTTGTGATGTTGTATGAGTATTACAAAGAGGAATATGAAGGTTATTGTTTATTTCCTTAGGTCTTGGGGAAAGAAGGAATTTTAGCCAGTCAATTTTATGGCTGCTAGCTACAGGCACCTCAAACGCAGTTTGAAAGCCTTTCTCAGAACGACTGTGGGACTGTGGGAGCACCAGCCTGGTTGGCAGCCCCTAACCCATGAGGAAGCCAGCAGTGCTAAAGGGCAGCACACAGGCGATCTTTTCCAGATTAACGTTGTTACAGCTTTCCTTATTGAACAATCTGCACAGAAACTTCCAAACTCTCTCAGAAAGCACATACTGACTTTCATTTTGAGGCTGGCACTGTTAAAACTAACTACAAATGACAATCTTCTGCATCAAGCAAAGGGTCTACTTGTTTTTAGCAAAACCAAAACAAAACTTTATTTTGGTTTTGTCTTCTGTCACCAGTCCTTTCCCTCTCAGCAGTGTCTACAGTGTCAGTCAGATTCTCTCACACAGAAAGTGCTTCTTTATTCTTCGTTAATAATTCTACAGCACTCATCTGGGCCACTCTTAAGCATCCTAAGGCCGCCTGTGGAAGCAATGTTCCCTCTCAGACTGACCTTCCCCAAGCTGAGGCCATCATGGTCCCTGTCCTCCCAGGACTTTGGATGTCCACTACATTACTGCCGACGTCCTGGATGGGCTATTGAGAAACGTCCTAGCATGGCACTTCTGGAAACCTCTGCTGGAGGCAGCAGACAGTGACTAGATGCGGAAAACAAGGCTGGCATGGATGAAGCCTGAAAGGAGTCTTTGAGGAATTTTGGAAGTCATTAAAGACATCTTGTAGTTACGTGGTTGGCAAAGATCACTGATTAATTTTTATGGAAATGCTTATTAACACAATCTCTCATAAATCACCAACAGAAATAAATGAAAATGTATGATTTCTCTTACTGGCAGGGATTTATCCAGTATTTCAGTGGATAGAAGATGGTTCAGGAGTGATCCTTTTAAAATTAGGCACATTATAAAAATTAAACATTTTGCTCTAGTTTGAAATTTAGCTAATTAGATAATATTAGAAATGAATGTGAATATTGACAATGGTACTAAGAAGAATATTTTGACAAATTCTATTGAAATTACATTTTACAAAAGAATGAACACATCTCAGTTATCTTCGCATTATTATGGACTACATTTTTTGAGTTATTTTCCATTTCTTGTCATTTAATATTAACATCATGAATAGTAGAACAATCAGATATTAGGCATCTCTGAATACATCACCTGTTAAAATTTCTTCCAAAAATAACTGACTCAGAATCTAAATAAAGACTAAAAAACTTGTAACTATTGTTTAAGTAATACATGGGATTGAGAGGCCTATCAACAAACCACGCTGTGGGTTACTGTTAGGTGCCATCAAGTGCACTATGACTCAAGTGACCCTATGAACAACAGATCTGAATTCTGTCCTATCTGTACCGTTCTCCCCGTTGTTCTCAAACTCAAGCCCACTGGGGCATTCACTAAGTCAATCACCTCACTGAATGGCTCCGAGGGGGAAGGATGGGCAATCTTTTCCCATGTAATTTACAGCAAGTTTTCAGAGGAAAATCAGGTATAAGGGCATAAGGAGACAATTTTCAAACATAGGAAGGTATTCCATTTTCCAATAGTAAATGACATAAAAAAGGGATAGCATGCTAAAAAAGGGACAGGAAAAAAAGGGATAGAATGTTAGGGTGTATACCAAACTCAATTTAGGATTGTCTCGTCTCATAGCTGACCCTTCAGCTGAAAACTGCTTGAGGGGAGATTATCAATCTCTTTCCTGAGGAGTTACTGGTGGATTCAAGCCACTGTCTTTGGCAGGGCAACTCCTTACCTCTAGGCCACCAGAGTTCACTACAAAGGAGTTTATCAAATGAGAAATATTAATCAAATACAATGTGTGTACCATATTTTTATCTTACTTTGAACAAACCCTCAAGCTTCAAGTCAATCCGTGGTGATGCTCCATCAGGTTTCTGAAATTGCACATCTTTATTGGAGAGACTGCCTCATCTGTCTCACAGTGATTGGCTGGTGGATTTCAACCACTGATCTTTTCAGTTCGTGGGCAAGCACATAACACACTATGCATATGTAAAAAAAAATTTGTTTGAGACAATTTGGGAAATAAAATATGAACTTATTTTTATTAAGGAATTATAACTATGTTCAAAGTCATAATGTATGTTTAGGGTGTTGCTATTGTTGTTAGGTGTCATTAAGTCGAGTACAACTCATAGTGACCCTATGAACCAAGGATCTGAACCCCGTTATTTCCTCACACTTCCTGACACACAAGAGCCCACTGCAGCAGTCACCATGTCAATCCACCTGGTTGAGGGCCTTCCTCTCCTTCACCAACCATCCACCCATGCCAGCATCATGTCTTTCTCCAAGTAACATATCCAAAGTATATGAGGCAAAGCATCATCATTCTTGCCTCTAAAGACAAAGTCTTCATCTACTGGAATAAAGAAGTTTTTAAGTTGTTGTTAAGTGCCGTCGAATCGTAGGCAATTCATAGCAACCCTATGAATGAAAGACTTGGACACTCGTATAACTTTCATCCTTTTTCCAGGTTCATAGGGTTTCCAGAGGCAAGCTATTTCGGAAGAGGATGCCACTCCTGCTTCCAAACTTGTTTTAATCAGGGAGCTCCACCAAACACGGTCCACTATGGGTACCATTTTCACATTTAGTGCATCAGTATCACAGTAGTTTGCTTTAAAATATTCTAAGAGACAAAAAAAATGAGAAGAGGGATAGATAAAATAATGGCAAAATGCTGATATCTGTTAAAGCTGAAATACAAGCAGGCCATTTATAGAAGGCCGTTTATCATCAATGTTAGATGGATCTCGTCTGAAAGCAAAGCGTAGCAGAGGAATGTTTATCTGTGCTTCATTGACTATGCAAAGGTATTTGACTGAGTGGATTACAACATATTGTAGTTAACCTTGAGGAAAATGGGAATCCCAGAACACTTGATTGCGCTCATGAGAAACCTATACTTGAACTAGGAAGCAGTTCTCAGAACAGAGCAGGGATACACCACATAGTTTTAAATCAGAAAAGGAGTGTGTCTATACCTGTCCTCTCTCTATACCTTTATAATCAATATGCAAAATAGATCATGTGGGAAGTTGGGCTTAATGAGGAGGAATGTGGCATCAGGATTGGAGGAAGATTCATCAACAACCTACGTTACATAGATGATAAAATCTTGCTTGCTGAAACTTAGGAGGACCTGAAGTGCTTGCTGCAGAAGGTCTAGGACTATAGTCTTCAATATTTCAATATAGAGCGAAGCTCAACATCAAGAAAAAAAAGATTCTCACCACTGGGCTAATTAGTAGCATCATGACGGAGGAGAGATTGAGATTGTTAACAATTACAGCTTGCTTGTCTCCACAATCAACACTTTTGGCACCAGCTGTCAGGAAACCAAAAGACACAGTGCACTGGGAAAATCTGCAGTCAGGGACCTCTCCACAAGACTAATGAGCAACAATGTCAATATGGAGACCAAGGAACACCTGATCCAGGACATGATCTTTACAATTACTTGCTACATATTAAGGAACTGGACAATGCCTAAGGATGACAGAAGAAGAATCAATGCCTTTGAGTTCTGGTGCTTGAGCATACCATGGACTACCAAGAGAACTAACAGGTTTATCTTTGAGAGGGGTAAATCAAGTTTCTCCTTGGATGCAAGGATTCTGAAACTCTGTCTCCTATACTTTGGGCACATGGCCAGGAGGGATTGGTCCTTGGAGGACTTCATGCTTGAAGGGTGGAGAAACAGTGCAGGAGAGGAAAACCCTAGATGAGATGGATTGACACAGTAACTGGAATAATGGAGATAGGCATGTCCAAGTGACTGAGATTGGCTCATGGCAGGGCAGGCTTCAGAGCTACTGTACATAGAGTCACTATGAGTCACAGGAGACTTGATGGCACATGACAACAACAATAACAAATAGGTATATGAGTATTTTACTTTCTCTGGTTTGCGTTTATATTTGAAAATGGCCTAGTGGTAAGAGGCTGCATTGCAATTCCAAAAGCACGTGGTTCGAATCCACCAGCTCCTCTATAAGAGAAGGAAAAGTTCTCTCCTCCTGTGTGGTTTACTGCTTCTGAAAACCTGCTGGAGGGTCAGCTATTGTTCTGACTTGACGATACACAACAATGCTAAAAAAGTAAAAAAGAAAATTAGTGCGTCAACATTAACTCCTCACAACAATGCCACTTTCTTCCTATCATATGATTATAATTTACCTGTTCTAATGGGAGTTTTGCGATCCAAGTACTATCCAGAAGACTCTTCCTCTGACTTTTCGGGGCATCTCTCAGACGTAAAAAGAGTTCTTGCGCATCCAAGTTACACAACTGACACACACCATGTTCTGTTTCAAATAGTTTGGCTCGCAAGTAACTGTTATTAGATCGTATCCAGAACTCCTCCTGACATTTCAGGGAACAAAAGCGTGAATCCCAAGCGTTCACTTTACCCTCTCGCTTAGTTTGGCAAGTAGGTTGCTGACAGCGAAGGCAGAGTGGATTCCCGTCATTATCCACTGCTTGCAAATAGCCTTTGGAGGTAGAAGGCTTCAGAGTGATATCCGTGGGGGCTGTGCTGGGATTTAGAAATGGGACACTGGCTCCATCGCCCAGAAGCTTTCTGTAATTGAACAAAACATGTAATTGGAACTAATTTAACAGTCACTTTAGTCTGGATTATTACAGTTTCACAGAAAAGTCTTCTAAGTCCCTATACTAATAAACAGTAAATACAGAGTCCCCTCCAGATGTCAGAATTCAGTAGCAAAATGAAATAGCTATAGTCAGCACTCCACATTTCATGGAGAATGTTAGGTTAAGAACATAATAATTTGAATGAGTATATTGCCTCTGCTAGGAGTTTGGATGCCATCAAGTCCACAGGCAGCCTTTGATAAATCTGGAGAACTGGAAAACGAGAAATGAGAGAATGTCCATTATAGCCAAAACTCCAGCTAAGGCGCAGTGGCTACATTTTCCCTCTGAGTCCTGGGTCACACCCCACACTAGGAGCAGCCCCTACGAAGGCTGCCCTGGTCACTCTACTCCAGCCTCTGCCGGCCTACAGCAAACAATATCTTCACATTTGCAAAGCCAAGTGACAGGGTGACGAACTGACAGTGTTGACAGGAACTAGAACATAAGACCTGCTCAATATTGGGTCTTTAGAGGCACACTCACAGTATACAAATTCAACTTAGAAATGGAGGTGATGTGCACTCCTAAAGTGGCTCTACAAAGAGAGCTATCATTAAAAAATTAACACGTACGTTTAAAAGGACAGTCTTAGTACTACCTGGTAGTGAAAATCCTTACTTTGTGGAAGAGTTGCCAGACTCCTTTGTAATTAGACGGATGTGGCCTCCATCACTCTTCACCTTGGCCATCGATGCGGCGGCAACATCGTCTTTGGTTATGTATCTAAAACAAGTACATGTCAAATACATTTCCTTCCTCTTATATTATTATTTCTCTCTATCATGTTCATGCTACTCCTTGCAAAAGTCACAGGTGAAAAAAAATTTAAGCACAAGTCTATTCACTGTGTTAAATGTAATGTGAAGAAAATAATTTCTCTCTGTTTACAATGGAACATCATGTGGAAAATCTTATTTTGGTTGTTTCAAATTAGTTTTTCTAGGACTTACTTTTCCAAGAAATCCAAGTCATTTGACAGTCTCTGGACCAGTTTTCATTTAAGGAGAAAAAGGGGCCGGTGTAAGAATAAAAAATTAGCAAACACATGCCCAAATGTTGGGCTTATGCATGTGCTGTGCAGAACTCTTCAACTGCAAGTACCTCACCAGGGACTTCTCCCAAGGCTTCGACCTAAACCATTTGGATGCTGCTGTCACTGCATTCAGGGAAAGTGATTCTCTTTTCAGTTATTCAGGCTTAGTCACTTCTACTAGAATCTCAAAGCTTTACTATTATTATTCCATTCAGGGTTTAAAAATATTGCATGGACCTCTGCCCGGGGCGGGCTGCCCTTGGCCCCCTGCCCGGGGCGAGCCGTCGTGGCCCTCCGCCCGGGGCGGGCTGCCCT